GTATGCGCTGACCCTTATTAGATTCAAGATATCAAGGCTTTGCTAGGCGATAAGACGGATGAGGAGAGAAAAGAAGTTCCACAAAGCAGTTTAGTCGATCTACTCTCACTGGGCCGCGCAAGCGCAGGCTCCAACCTTGAAAACTTACTTCCTAGCACCCAAGAACACCGCGATATCCTCTTGGACGTCTATTTCGCCAATGTAGACCCTATGGTGAGGATCACGCATAGACCGACAGTGATGCGCAAATTTTTCACATATAACCGTGAAGCACATCCTATTGCCTACGCCATCTACTTCTCTGCCGTCAATTCATTGCCTCCTAAAATTGTCCAGACCAAATTTGGCGACACCAAGGAAGCTCTTCTGGACCGATTTCAGCTGGGCGTCGAAATCTCCCTCGCAAGAGAAAATTACCTAACAACATCCGATCTTGAAATATTCCAGGGCTTTGTACTATGGCTGACGTGCATCACAAGAGAAGAAGACATGGGTAGGCTTATAAAGCATTCATCAATATACTAAGCTGACATGAGAAGTAGGAAAAGCGTGGGTCTTGATTGGCATAGCTTTTCGTATCGCTCTGAATCAGGGATTACACCGAGATCCATCATTGTTTCCAACAGGATCAATGGACGCCCTCACTATTGAACAACGCCGCCGCATGTGGCATCAGCTTGGACATCTGGAATTTCGTGCAGCTGAATGCAAGGGTCAAGAGCCAAGCATCACTGAAGACTTTTACACAACGCTTTTCCCCCGGAATATCGATGATGAAGAACTTGTCGATGGAGCGAGTCCAGGCCAAGCTCCATACAATGAGCAAAAGTTCACATCAATGACGTTTCAGCTGGTCCGATTCAACGGTATGCGAGCACTGAGGCGCATAGTCCAAAGCACGTATCGTTTAGAGCGGCGAATGCTAGATTCTGGGCTTCACGGAACCTCTCGGCCAGACCCCGCACAGGAGCTGCGGGATCTTTATGATCAGATCAAAGTCATGCTCGATGAAGTACACGAAGAGACCCATCGGAAGTACTTGCAATTTCTTAACCCGGAAATACCAATGGAACGATTGACCTTGGGACTGGCTTCGCTACTCGAATGGCGCGCTTACTTATTTTTCTGGCTCCGTATGCCGCGTGCGTACCGTGATGACGTCTTCTCCGATGACATTCGCAGATCGTACGTATTTCCAGTCGAAAACGACTTGTTTAGAGCTAGCAGAGACTAACGATTTAGAATATTCGAAAAATCTGTCAACTGCGTGGAGACAATCAACGGAGCAGCTGCGGATGTTGACGCCGCTCGCTTTCAGTGGCACATTGGTATACCGACCCACTTCTCGTATTTTCAAAGCTAACAAATCAAGGCGCCATTGCTTCGTTCCAAGCTATCATGCATATTTTATCCGAGCTACGCAACCCCCTGTTCGATGCGCCAGACCGGCAACGAGCCCTACGAGCGCTGCAAATGTCGCGCATTCTTCGAGCAAACAACAACGCTAAGGCATGGCAAGCTGTCAAGAACATGATTGACAAAGCCGTGGCCGAGCACAACCTTTCGCCCAGGGCCCAAACTCAACCATTGAATTCGTACATGGGCCAGCCCGCACCTGTGTCTGCGATTATGCCTCTCCCCACGTCTACATCCACATCGACGTCTACGTCTACATCTACACCCTTATCTGCAACTATGCCTACGCTTCCACTGGGTCCTATGCCAACCAGCAACACAGGACCATACCAAGCAATAGCGGAAATACCTGCTTATGCTTATCAACCCAGTTCCATGACGTTCAATCAACCGACACTACTACCACAGTCTCAACCACTCCCCCAGCCGCCACCAGTACAACCTCAACCTGACATGATGGATTCGACATCAAATTTCCAAAATCGCGCCCCAGTCTGGGACGACATCAATATAAACAACATTAACAACATCGTTGGAGATATGCAACCATCTACCAACGTCATCCCCGAATTCGATTTTGTAAGTTTCATAATGTAGTGCGTTAGAGAAGGACATGATTACTGACCAAAGCAGGGTTTCTGGGGTGACCCTTTCAACTACGAGAACGAGCCTGTTGCAATGCCAATGCAAGACGGCTATTTTACCCAATGGACAGCAAGAGTCTGAGCTATGTTAGCGAATGACATGCTATCTTTTTTTCTCTGCCTTTCCGACTGTATGCAAGAGCAAGCATCATGAGCTTGGCAGACCGTATTCCAGATTAAGGCTCCGCTAAGCTCCTATTGGCGGTGGTCTTTTCGAGAGTCCTACGCTCAACAGTATAACGAATTGGAATACCGTCCCAGTTGGCCGGCCGTTCTATATTACACATTTCCAAACTCCATGCTACAGAATCAGACCATATAACCATGGACACAACGCCATACCAGCGGGAAGAAAGTGAACGAGTGGAACAGAATACGAGATCATAACACCTGATGTCCACTCTTCGGTTCCAAGGCCGTATTCAATGTTGCCAGAACAGGTTTGGCTATAGGGAGTCTAGCCCATCGTGGACAGAAGAACGTCGAGAAGACTAGTACCACTTTCAGTATCTCCAAAATAGCACTCAGCATGCTTTTTTAAGGAAGAAACCGCACCACAATTTTCTACAGTAAGACAGTTGTAATTGTAGCAAGCTCGGCTACAGGAGGACTGAGCATTCAGCTAAACTTGACATTCATGCAGATAACTCCCTATTTGGGAGCCAGCATGTACATATTTTTTTTTATTGTTGCAAATACCAAATTTACCATTCACTAGAGACGAATTAGAATATTAGAATTTTTTTTTACCATTACCATTACCATTTCTATCAGCCACTATGTATGCCTTCTTACCCTTGATGCTTCACAACACCTCAACATAGACTATACGGTACCTTTGGTATTCTTTGTAGCTTGCATACCCAATACCGCGACCTCGGTAACTCATCTCTACTCCTATCGTATACATATTGAAATCCCCCCCATCTCTCTCTCTCTCTGTGCCACTCTAACAATTTTCCAGTCCGAAAAAGCAATTGGCTGACGTTGTTTCCATGGATACACGGTACAATATGTAAACACGAGATGAAATGTGAGAAGGAGGGAGATACATGTAGTGCGAGGTGAGCGGGTACGATTGCTGACATGATAAGAAGGAGGCCGGAGTTGCATGGGTTACATCATTTATGGGTTGGTATGGGAGGAGATGGGAGAGAGAGAGAGTGTGTGTAGTGTGTGTAGAGTGTGTGTGTGTGTGTGTGTGTGTGTGTGTGTGTGTGTACTGGACGTGATGATATTTACTAGTCTGGGTAGAGCAAACTTAATTCATATCGAGGTATGGTTTTCTCTTAGTCTTGGTCTTGGGCTTGGCCTTGCGCTTAGAGTTTATGTAGAGAGTAAACTTAATGGCACGGGCGAACCCACTGTTGACTAACATTGACCATCTCTCTTCTTGGTTTCCCTTTTTTTTCAATATACCCCGCGATAGCTTTCACGATATGCATAGTGAAAAGGCGGATAAAAGAATAAGAAGTAGGCTGAGAAGTTTCATGAGTGTTGTACAAAGTAACAGTAGCTCCTATCCGAAGGGTTCCGAAATTTGCAGTCCAAGATGCCAGCAGCGACTTCTAAATAATCTAGACACCACATGGCACCCTACCAAATTATGCAAGCAGCCTATTCATCCTTGACACCACCGCGTCCAGCGCGCTCAGCAGCCTCAATGCTCTTCTTATCCGTCTTAATCTCACCAGCACCCATACCCATCATGCCACCAGCAGCCTTCCACGGCCTAGCTAGGTCACCGGTCGCAGGCTGGCCAAACAAATGAACCTTGACGAGGTTTCCCTCGAACGCGCCCTTGAGGGGGATGATAGACTGGATGAGGAGCGGGTTGGTGTATTTGAAGTAAAGGTGCATAACGCACATCATGCCGACGCCCATGGCCTGGGCCTTGAAAAGCTCGCGCAGCTTGCCGAGATCGTACGCCTTAACGGTGGTAGCGACGAATTTGGGTTCCTCGCCGGATCCCATTGGCGGGGGCTCGACGTATTTGACGACGGTCATGTCTGCGCCATGTGTGTTAGCCTGCTTACTTTTCATCGAAAGTATTCGTGACGGTGGGGCGACGCACCATTTTTTTTGTTGATCTGCGTCTGGACGTAGAGGTAGATGCCCGCGATAATCAGGTTGGAGACGATGTAGAGTGCGCGCACGCCGTTGAGTACGTTGGGGTCATCAAAGGGAATCCTTTTTGAAATTTGCATAAATCCCCTGCATATGTGTTAGAGTTCTGATCTGCTGCGGATGCGAAAAGGATAGAGCGGAGCATACAGGATGATGACTAGGTTGGAACTGCGGCGAGGGTTAGCAAACTGTCTTCAACAGCCTCGGAGACCGGGGATGCATACATTTGTGGGTTGATAGCCATTGTGAGAGTCGGGGTGGATGGATCGAGGAGGGTAGGTGAGGAGCGCTTCGACAGGGGATTATAAAAAGTCCTGGAAGAGAGGTGAGGTGTTGTGGCGCGAAACGTGGGAGAGAAGCCGAAGGGATGAGCGGGCGACTTTTGTGGTGGGCGAGGAATACTTAACCCTAGCGCGACCCAAGAGGCCAGGTTGCCGGCGGCGGGTTAACCTCAATTGGATTTCACCCTTCTAGGCTCGTCCAAAGTCTTCTCAGAACACATCCCTAGTTCACAACAGTATAGCGATAATTTCCTTCGGTACAGCAGGTTTCATCGGTACAGCAAAAAATGTCGACGTTTGACAGACTGCCAGCGCTCTGGCTCTACTTGAATTCAGGGTATCTTATCTATAATAGTCCTGTGGATATGTATGCAAACCGACGCCTATTTAACACCCTTGGTACCCAACCCACATGAACCATTGTTGTTCCCCAAACGCCATGCTAAAATATCAAAAACTCCGGTGTCGACCTCATAGTCACCCCCTGTCCCAATGCAACTAATTTCCAACCAATAACCAGAACTTGTAGCAATCACATAACAATGCATTCACGATCCGGCCGATTCTTTCCCTTTGACTTACCTTTGTCCAGGACCGCACCAGGCTCTCTACTCTTACTCCTCATCCTATCCTTCTTCTCCTTTTTGCTCTTGCTTCGCGAAATTCCAGACTCTTTCTTCTCTTTGACCGGAGACGGTGATTTTTGACTGCCCTCAGGGCTTATGGCCTTGTCGATTACAAAAATAGGCTCATCGCCAGTACTGACAGCCTCTGTCGTGATCAGCTTGTTGGTGCTACCCCGGCCTGTCAGGCGCGACAGCGTAATGGACAACCGATTCTCGCCACTTGGACTACCCGGCCGACTTTTGCCAGCGCCGGACATCCATATGCGTGAGCCGCGCCGGGAAACAGATAGGAAGCCGGGCTTCTCTTCAGCTGGAGTTGTCGGTTGGGTTCGTCCACGAAGGCTCCCCTCGCCGTCGTCAATGGTTATGCTGCTCCGCCAATTACTGGAAGTGCTGTTCCGACTGGCTGGCTCGTCCGTGCGATTCGGTTCAGTACACGCATCAGGCACGCTAATCTTTTCCCAGTCGCCAGTAGTATCCACGTCCGTTGCGGTGGTAGAGGGCACAGAGGCCAGCGTTTCGCGGGACGGATCTATCGACGGGATTCCGGACTGCGCCTCTGCGTAGGTTGGGGGATCACCTCTGGAAGCCAGTTCTTCATCAATAGGCTGTACTTGGTAGAATAAGAGATATGGCGACTCTTCTCGCAGAGCTTGCTCAATGTCGACCTCGGTGACTCGTTGATTGGAAAGATCGTCAAACCGTAGCCATTTGCCTTCTTCTTCATCAGACTCGGAATTGGCAGTTTCGGGCCTCCCACGAGCATTGGCACGAACAAGTGCAATGTAATGACCAGAGTCCACCGATACACCTCGATGGCAGACGACCGATTGTAGCACTAGCTTGAAATTGCCAAACAATGGACCCTCTTCCTTCATTCTTTCGTCAGAAATGAAATGGGGCAAGCCAATGTCAAGTGGAATGTCGATGTAAGTATCGAGGCGCTTCGGAGTGCCATTTGAGTTCATCGTGTATCGCTTCAGACATATTCCAAGAACAGGGCGTTTTGCAGAGAAGTGTGCTGCAACCTGCGCATCTGACCTTGGCACGTTATCCGTGTACCATGCTACCAAGATTGTTAGCACCATATATATTGGTGGGAAACTAGACTTACGGATTAGACTGAAAAACTGCCATGCGGGCATGAGAATCTCCTTCTTAAGTAGAGAAGCCGAGCGGGGTCGACCGCCAGAGCTGTTGTCTAGCATATCCTCGACATGCTTCTTCTCGTCGAACATTTGGGCTTCAGGAGGCTGGCGCAAGTAGCGCTTACCGAAGATGCTATCAGCACGGCGACGACCTTCTAGCTCAGGTCGAACTGGGGCCAAAGTGGTCGTAGGCTCCAGCGACAAGGGAGATGAGACGATTGGAGTCATTGGTGTCTCTACTTCTGCAGTTTCGATGTGTATCGACTCGTTTTTCTCAGCATCCTTGCCTGTGAATTCGTCCCTGTTTGATCTTATGGAGGCAATCGTATTTTGCCGTTGCAGGTAGCGCTTAACCTCGATTCTGTTGTTGAAATAGGTCTCTAGGCAGTCCTCGAGCGTAACGATACGACCCTCTTCTGGTTCTGGGATAGCAACTTCCAGAAGTCGTTCGTTGACAAACTTGTGGTCATCTTCTTTATCTTCGCGCCCAGTATGATAAATGTCCATCTTTAAGGTAAGGAGTGGCAGTTCCAGCGCGCCTGTGATAAAGGTAAAAGCTTCGGATGCGTCCTGCTGCCGCACTTGCGCCGCATCTTCCCAGCCACATGTTGCGAGCGAATCCTGAAGATGCTTGGTCTGTGATGGTCATTAGCTACGAAAGTGACGGTGGTGCGGATATACCATACCAGGTCGACTCTGATGAGCTGGCCTGTGCGCAACAGGTTCACCCAAAGTCTCAAGACGGCGGCCAGTTTCTTCCGGGGCTCATCCTCGAAATTGTCGTACAGCATGGCTTCAAAGCTGTCAAGGCGCGCAAACATGGCAAAGAGGAGCGCATCTAAATAGCATGTCACCATATTCCGATTGATGGCGCCCAGCATGGGAACGTTGGGGTTATAGTCCTTCAGTTCGCCCTCGAGCGATTCGTTGGCAAGGACCAAGAGGTCGTAGGCTTTGTCGAGGTCATCCGGGTACCAAGCGAGGGCGTGTTCGGCCTGTTCTTCAGCCATTTTTGTTATACCCGAACCGTGGAGTCGGGTAAGCAGCATCTTGACCTGTACATGGTCAATGCGAGTGCGTGCAGTCGTGCCGCTTGACGTACCTTTTTCTCGGCATGTTCGTTTGCTGGCGGCCTGGGCCCTTCATTGGTGAATATTCTGTAGAGATCGAGCGGGGCATCTTGAGATTGAGACTGGAGAGAGACATGGTCAGAAGAGCGGGGAAGAGGGTCTTGAAAGGTGGTGGTGGGCGTGGGAAGAGGGCGACCTGGCGCTGAAGTGTGCAGTAATAGAAGACTGTCGCCTAGAGAATGCGGCAATACAAATGGAAGCTTATGGTACAGTGTCTGAACGCCAGCAGACAGTCGCCGGCGGCGGCTCATCCGGGGAGGGGACGGCAGACGGACGGTGCAGCATGGCGCAGGGGCGGGGGAGTCGAGCAAGTAAGTAGAAGCGAAAGAGGACGGGCGTACTTTTGATTTGGCGTGTTTGGAGGCGCGTTTTTCGCCGTGCTTGTCACGCCGGCTGAGGAATCGCGAGACGCCGTTCATGGTGGCCGAGGGGGTAGGCAATGGGAGAATGCATGCAGAAGAAGGGGGTGTGGTGAATGTGGAGGTTGACAGGGTGGTGGTGGAGGATAAGTCGCGGGGCAGGCGGGCTGGATGGCAGGAAGGAAGAGACGAGGCGCAGCCAAGGAACGGGATGACGCCGTGCCGCGGGACGCAGGCGACGGCGAGGCAGCACGACGAGAGGTGGCGCGGGAAGAAGCACACGCACAGCAGGACAAAGAAGCAGAAGCACAAGACATGGTCGAGTGTACCAGCAATTGTCAGCCGCGCAGCAGCTGGTGGCCGTTGTCGTAGCCAGGTGCCTCTAGGTGGGGCTGCCCTATTGGCTGCCAGGGCGGGCCCTAGCTGGCTGGCGGTAGCATTGTGTAGGCCATCCCTGCAGCCCTGGTCGTCTAGCGTATAGCGTATAGCGCATAGCGCATGGCCTGGAAAAGTCCGCTGGAGACTGGACATGGGCCATGCTGCTGCTATCACCGACGACAATCACCCTCCACACGTTCCCCCGACGTCGTCATGGCCATCCGTGACCTGCCGCTGCGCACCGCCGTGGCCCTGGGGAACTCGGCCAGACCGGCTGTTCGCGCCGCCTTGCCCGCCCTCGGCCGCAATGCCTCGTCCCAGGCGCTCGCAGAAATCGAGGACGCATCCTCCCTCCAGACGCCACCACCGCCAGCACATCTCGTCAAGGATTTCGACCCGGTAGCAAGGAGTCGGCTGCGGAGAAGGGGGAACAAGCAGCTGCCGCCTAGCAGGTACCGTGTCCCCGCCGCATGACCAACGAGCCCATCCTCACACCCGTCACAGGTACCAATATCGCTCGCCCAAGTACTATCGCGGCCCACTCCACCCTCACCAGCCCCCGCCAGAGTCAGACCCCGCATCGCGACTCTTCCAGCCGGGGCCCTTCAGCCTGTCGCGCCTCGAGCAAACGTACCAGAGCAAAATCGCCTCAGACCTGCTCACCCTCACATACCAGCACTATCCCCCAGGCTACCGGGCCCCCAAGACCGAGCAGCGGCTGCGCGAATGGACTGGCGACTCGCCCTACTTCAAGAACCGCCCACTGCGGCCCCCGCGAGGCAAGGGTGAAGTCCTGCGCCTGCTCCAAGAACCCCGCACATTCCGCAATGTGCCCAAAATCACAAAGGTCGTAGTACACTCCATGGTGCCAGAAGCCCAAGAGAACAGCGGAAACTTGCATGTAGCCGGCATGGTGCTGCAGGCCATTAGCAATGTGCGAGCAGTTTCGCACAAGGCAAGGCACAACGTAGTCGGCTGGGGACTGCGAAAGGGCAGATATGTCGCAGTCACCTCTACCATGGAACGCGAAGACGCCGACAATTTTTTGGCCAAGCTGATCGACGTGGTGCTGCCGAGGATCAAGGAATGGAAGGGCGTGCCCGGTTCATCTGGTGATGGACACGGCAATATGAGCTTTGGCCTTACCCCGGACCAAGTTGCCCTCTTCCCCGAGATCGAGGTCAATTATGACGCGTGAGTATCTTACTGTATCTGTCTTGTCGACTCATTTTATACTAACACAACCTAGCTATCCTCCCAAGATGATTCCTGGTTGCCATGTTACCATCCAAACCGATGCTACTAGCAACAAGGACGCTCGTCTCCTTCTTCAAGCCATTGGCATTCCATTTTACGGAAAACTTAACGACTAGATGCAGGTCTATTCCCGGCCGTGTACAAGACATGTAGTAAATGTAAAATACAGCCATTCTGGCTGCCACACGAAATTCGCTGCTCAATCCTCTTGACTACTGTGACGGGACAGGCTTCCATTTGAGTCTTTTACTGGGCCTTGAAAAATTGATCAGTCCCCTGAGATTCTTTCTTCCTAACCAACTTGAAGCTGATTACAGGAGAACGTCGATCCAGCCATCGCGCACGGATTCTGAACACCTTGAGATGTGATACCTGAAGCGTTACAGCGCAGGTCGTGGACACTTGACATGTCATTGATGGAATATACTATCGACTTTGGATGAAGTCAAAAATACAGACATTTCTTGCAGATATTGAAGACCTCGGCATATTGGCAATCAGACAGTGGGTGCACCCAGTCGGTGCAGCTGTGCGGCCGTAGACAAACGAGTTATTTTCGTGATGTTGTCGGGCGCGGACGGACCCTGGCACGAGATTTTAGGGTTGGCCAAGCTGCTCCACCGAAGAACCCCCGGCGTGTCGCAGCTTCTCCCAGACTGTCAACCACCACCAAATCAAACCCGCGATACCCTCTCACTACCCCAGATTTGCTCTCGTGGCCACTCATCAGTCACGATGCAGTCTATCCGACAACCCCTGCGCTCTGCGCTATCAAAGGCCGCAACCAGGCAGTATGCGACCGCTTCCTCGCAGTATGCCGAGACGATTAAGAACCTTCGCATCAACAGCGACACAAAGGTTCTGTTCCAGGGTTTCACTGGAAAGCAGGGAACGTAAGTAGGAACAGAAGAAGCTGAAGTAAAGGGTAACACTAACACGCAGGCAGCTTCCACGCACAGCAGGCAATTGAATACGGTATGCGACTAGCCAAAAGGCCATTTTGATACTGCGGGGGACAGGTCTGACACTTTGTTAGGCACAAAGGTTGTTGGAGGCACAAACCCCAAGAAGGCCGGCACTCAGCATCTCGGACTGCCCGTCTTTAAGAATGTGGCAGATGCCATGAAGGAGACCCAAGCTACCGCTACTGCCATCTTCGTTCCGTATGCTTCACCCGCCTACGACTCGTGTCGCCTTTGAAACCTAACCACACTGCAGCCCACCGGTCGCTGCCGCGAGTATCGAGGAGGCTATCGCCGCCGAGGTTCCTCTGATTGTGACGTAGGTGTGCATATGGAAACTGAGATACATGGAAACTTACAATGGACAGTATCACTGAGGGAATTCCCCAACACGGTACGCTTGGTCAAGTCTGTTAGGGAAATTTCGGTGACTGACGGAAGTAGACATGGTGCGCATTACAGATATGCTCAAGTCCCAGAGCAAGTCTCGCATGGTTGGCCCTAACTGCCCCGGTATCATTGCTCCCGTATGTCCCCCACCCACATCCGTACCTGGATTAGCCTTCTGACTTTTACCAGGGCCAATGCAAGATTGGTATCATGCCTGGATTCATCCACAAGCGCGGCCGCGTTGGTATCGTCTCTCGTTCCGGAACTCTTACCTATGAAGCCGTCAACCAGACTACCCAAGCAGGCCTTGGTCAGTCCCTCGTTGTTGGTATTGGTGGTGACCCTTTCTCCGGTACCAACTTCATTGACTGCCTGAACGTCTTCCTCAAGGACGAAGAGACTGACGGTATCATCATGATTGGTGAGATTGGTGGTTCTGCTGAGGAAGATGCTGCCGACTTCTTGAAGGAGTACAATACCGCCAACAAGCCTGTTGTCAGCTTCATTGCTGGTATTTCCGCCCCACCAGGCAGGAGAATGGGTCACGCTGGTGCCATTGTCAGCGGTGGTAAGGGTGATGCCAACTCCAAGATCACCGCGCTTGAGGCCGCCGGTGTTACTGTCGAGCGCTCTCCTGCCAAGCTCGGAGCCACTCTGTACGACCAGTTCGTCAAGCGCGACCTGATATAAGAGGAAATTGTGATGTTTCATTAAACTCTCAAGGTGTGCAGGCTCACGAATTGTGGTAGTCGCATGGAGGTCTATTGTACATTGTAGTTGAAGCAATTGAAGTCATCTCGCATCTAGATGTATAGTCTGGTGGTGCAGATGTTTGTATCATGTCCTCAGAGCTTTATGGGATTGAAATGTCGATTCCACAAAGTACCCCCGTCCCTCTTTTCACATGCACTTTCGAACCCTCGATGGGTGATGGTCCAAGCTCATAATTTTCCAAAAGTTCCCCGCAAACCTCCGAGCCCTGCGTCTAATTGCGGAAGCACAGAGAACAACTTCGAATATAGCCAACATGTCCAAGACAAAAACGAAGCGCGCGCGCCGTGAATTGAAGCGCGAGGGCGAGAGAAAAATAGCAGCACACCACCGCAAGGCAGCAGCAAAAGCCGCAGAAACAAAACAAGCCGCGACGAAACCACTCGCGAAGAAGAAGAAGCAAAAGATGGATTCGGCCGCCGCAAAAGACGCACCACCAGCGACCAAGCCCGCCCACTTCCAGCCCTCACAGCGAAAACACGCCATCCCCTTTGGCGAATATGACCACATCCTCCTCGTCGGCGAGGGCGACTTCAGCTTCACACGGTCCCTCGCCATCGAGCACGGCTGCGCAAACGTCACAGCCACAAGCTACGACTCGCACGAAGACGTCTCCTCCAAATACCCAACCTTCGATCCCATCTCCACCGAGCTCTCCTCCCTCACACCCCCAGTCCCCCTCTTCCACTCCATCGACGCCACAAAACTCTCCAGCTACAAGCACCTCCGCTGCAAACGCGACGACAATGACAATGACAACGACAACGACGGCGATGGCGACCAAGGCTGGGACACCATCGCCTTCATGTTCCCGCACACGGGCGGTCTCAGCACAGATGTAAATCGCCAGGTCCGCGCGAACCAAGCGCTACTGGTGGAATTCTTCAAGTCGTGCATCGATACCAAGGATGCGAAGAGGAGGTTGCATATTCTGCAGAGTCAGAAGAGGGAGAGGGAGGAGAGTAGGAAGAGGAAGAGAGGGAAGGAGCAGGGTGATTTGCAAGAACAAGAGGGGGGGAGGAAGAAGAAGATGGAGCAGAATGTTAAGCCGTTTCTTCGTATGGGCGGCAAGATTATAGTTACGCTGTTTGAGGGGGAACCGTATACTTTGTGGAATATTCGCGATTTAGCTCGCCATGTTGGGCTGAGGGTCGTTGAGAGCTGGAAGTTCGATTGGGAGCAGTATCCGGGGTACCATCACGTTCGTACGCTGGGGGCGCTCGAGGGCGGTGGTGGGTGGAAAGGCGAGGATCGCGAGGCGAGAATGTATGTGTTTGAGAAGATTCCGCTTGTGGCTGATAGTGATGAGGAGAAGGAGATGGAGAGGTTGGCAAAGGTGGCGAGGGGGGGACGGTTGCCGAGTCAGAAGGAGGCGATGAAGGCGGCTTTGCAGGATGAGGAAAAGGGTGAGGAAAAGGAAGACGAAGACGACGAGGAAGATGATTGAGGCTATGAAACTCATTCATAAAAAAACAATGCACCCATCTTCGAGATCTGAAGAAAAGGACAGCACTACCGATACAGGCAGGACTAAAACCCACGCCGGGGCGTCCCACCACGATAAACCGGAAAAAAACAAAACGCCCCGCTATGCGCATGTAATCTCCGTAGCAAAAAAGGCCAACCTCCTACTCCAAGGAAACAAAGAAAAGAAAGGAACCAAAAGAAACAATAATCACATAATATACACCTTCCGTACCTCACTCTCCTTCCACTTATCCCCCGTCAACCCAGCCACAGGATCCCTAACATATCCGGGCTCCGTCCCCACCTTCTCATTGAAAATACGCAACCTCTCAGAGCCATAAATGCGGCCATTAGGCAGTACAACCGGTGCATCTTCCACGATACTCTTGGTATGCAGCGCATATGGCACGTTGCGCGCGAGTTCTTTGAGCTCAGCACTGCAAATGGGGCAGACGGTCGTAGCGGACGAGGCGGCGTTGGTAGCAGAGGGAATGTATTCCGAGTGACAGGCTGGCGTCTTTAGGGCTGAGAGACCCGCGCTGAGGGCGATGTGGAGGAGGGGGCGGGGCGGGAGCGAGTACAGTGTGTGATGGGTTGAGACGAAGAGGTCTGCGAGGTAGGACCAGCGGGAAGGGGAGTAGAGAGACTAGAGTTGTGAAAGTTAGTTACGCTGCTGCACTCTCTCGTGTAGGGGAGGAGAATGGAAAACTTACAGCATACGGCTCCACCTCATCCCACGGCCTATATGCCAACATACCCGCCGCCTGCCTCATGAGCGTAAAATCCCCACTCGCACTAAGGTACTTCTTCGCATGCGCCCTCGCCTCCACCAACTTTGCTTCTCCCCCTCCTTCACCACGGCTACCAATACTAACCCCGTGCATACCCCCCTCTTCCCCCTCGAGCCCATCCATCGCACTCAACCCGGCCTCATGCCCTTGTCTCACAAGCTCAATATACTGCTGCAACCTCAACTCAAACTCTAGCATGCTTCCTCCTTTCTTGAGCTCCTTGCCATGTTCCTTGCACCACTCGAGTGCCAGTGCCGTACTCATGCCCTCACGGAGACTCCGCTCAATCTTATGACACGCTACGAATGCTTCTACATCAACAAGGTCTTCAATCCCTTTGCTTTGCGCTAGGCATGTGGCGCTTTCTGCATATCCCTCGCGGAGTAGGTAGTCGACGAGTAACCTGCTAAGTCGTGTGCGCGACCACTCGTCGTATTTGACGTCGACGAGACTCTGGACTGAATATAGGTCTTGTAGGTGTTGCAGGCGTGCTTTGGCTGCGCGGTGGAGACGGTTTTCTTCTTCGTGGAGGCCCTCGAGTTTGCGTTTTAGGCCTTGCATCTTGGTAATAAGGGAGTCGAGCGAGGAGAGGGTTGCTTCTGGTGAGGCGTTCTTGTTTGCGGCTTTTGCGGTTGCGCTGAGGGCTGTGGGCAGGGCGCTCGACGAATGCTCGATGACGCGCTGGGCGTTTTTGAAGTTGCGCCGAGAAAGCTCATATGGCATACGGAGGAGAGGTTGGTCCTGGGATTGTCAGTTGGTGAGTGCCGTCTTGCGTGTAAGTAGGCTGGACGTACGAGCAGGAGATGCGACTCGGCATTGAGTTTCGTGCTCGTGAGTTCTGCCATGGCGGACTAGTGTTTGGTGTGAGTAAACAATGAACGTATTGAGATACCCCGGAGGGTCTAGGGATCTTTAGCTTTGGTGGGAAATGGCTGAACTAAGGAAGGTTATCAGCGAGTGGCTAACGTGAGGATGTCCATGTTCAAGCTCCACCGCGGAGGTTAACTTGCGGGGATGCTCGTCACAGCTCATAGTTCGCAAACCGGCACGTGCAGACCCACTGCCACTTATCTATCTCGTTATGTCCGTTGCATTCCGAGTTGCATTCACGTCATATCAACAACTTACTTCTACCTCTTAAGTACATAATGCAAAATTCACAAAATTCACCAAGACTCTTATGCGATATAATTTCATTGCAAGGCAACTCTAAAACTCCTCTAAATCCCAATGCATCATAACGCATAATCCAGATGTCTCTGTCCGTACAGAAACACTGACGCAGGTAGCGATGAGCTGCCGGCCTACTGCAGAGGTATTTCAAACCTGCTCTAAGGCCATTACTTTTAGCTATGTACCCGCACCCCGCTGCTCAAAGGACGCATGCATTTTCTAAACCCATTCTGAATTATCCATTTAGAGAGCACCGGTTGAAGCCATCTTCTTGCGGAGGTGATCCTTGTACTCGCCAATGGTACCATCCCACCGACGGACAGTCTTGTGTTCGCAAACCATGATATCCTTGGCAATCTTGTCGAGCAATCTGTCTTGAGGTTAGCACACCGTACAAACATTTCTTTAGGAGAATGAGCATACCTGAAGTCGTGAGAAACAACAACGACACCACCGCTGAAGGCGTTGATGGCATCGGCCAAACTGTCAATAGTGGGGATATCCAGACCGTTGGTAGGTTCGTCAAGAAGCAACATGTTAGGGCCCTCAATAGCGAGCAGAGCGAAGACGATACGAGACTTTTGACCATCAGACAGAGTAGCCATCTTGGACGTCTGTGCCTCACCAGTCATACCGTAGCGACCAAGCTGCTGACGCCAGTACTGGATGTCCTGGCTGATGTGGTGGAACTTGTCGCGGACAAAGTCAAGGGCAGACTTGGTGAGGTCGAGCTGTTCAGCAGAGTGCTGGCTGTAAACACCGAGCTTCAAGTGAGTATGGCGCGATACAACACCAGATGTAGGGCTGAGCTTTCCGGTGAAGATGTTGAGCAGTGTTGACTTTCCAACACCGTTGGGTCCGACAAGGGCTGTTCGCGAGTCCATGTCGACACCAAAGTCGAGATTCTCGTACAGGTTGTCTTTTGGATCTCCAGAGTAGGAGAAGGTGACATCGTCAAGCGAAAGCACAGGTGGCGGCAGCTTCTCAACGTCGGCGAAGCGGAAAGTAAAGACTTTGTCAACAGCAACGGGTTCGATGAGACCATCCGCCTCCATCTTGTCCAGGATCTTCTGACGAGACTTGGCTTGCCTGACCAAGTTGGCGTAGGTACCGGCTGAAGCAATAAACTTCTTGATGTGCTTGATTTCGTCTTGTTGCTTCTCGTAGGCCTTGGTCTGGTTGACCTCCTGTTCGGAACGGGTCTTGTGGTAAGCGTCGTAGTTACCTCCGTAGTAGAGGAGTTTCTTTTGACGCATATCAATCATGTTTGTGCAGACACCGTTCAAGAAGTCCATGGAGTGGGAAACGAGAACCAGGGTACGCTCCCACTTCTTCATGTACTCCTCAAGCCACACACAGGCCTCGAGATCCAAATGGGCAGTGGGGTCATCGAGCAAGAGCAGAGCAGGCTTGACGAAAAGGGCCTTGGCAAGCGCAACACGCATACGCCAACCACCGGACATGTCCTTTGTCTTCTTGTTGATGGTGACCTTGTTGAAACCAAGACCAGTGAGAATGAGGGAAGCGCGAGTGTGGAAGGTGGATGGGTCCATATCTTCTTGACGCTGTTGACTAGTTAGTGGGGGTCAAAATATAACTATCCGAATACAACGTACCTCGTAGATATCCTCGAGGAGAGGGCTCTCAGGGCCGTCCTTCTCGAGAATGTCCTCAGCCATCTTCTCGAGACGAGCCAGCTCAGTCTCAGCCTCGCGGACGACCCAGTCCAAGGCACCCAACTCAGTCTTGGGGGCACCCTGATTCAGCAGGTAGATGTCGATGTGCTCTGGGAAGGGGAACTCGCGCTTGTCGATGGCCTTGAGCAGCGTCGTCTTTCCGCAACCGTTCTCACCCAGCAGACCATATCGGCGACCGTAGTTGATCTCGATGGTAGAGTCGTTGAAAAGAACCTTGCCGTGGAACACGAGCGACGCAGAGATGATCTTGACATCGCGCGACTGCTCGAGCGAGGCAAGCACACCAGTGGTGACACGGTCAGATAGGCCGTGCTTATCTTGTTGGAGAGTGAGCTTCTGGACCTCCTCGTTCAGCTCAAGATCCTCGGGGTTGTCGCCGTTCTCAGAGTTGGCCTTGGAGGCATTCTTGGAGTTGGCCTTGGATGACAACTTGGAAGTGGCCGACTTCTTGGGCTTAGCGTCGCCATCGGCGGCGCGCTTTGCCTGACGGGCGGCTTTGGACGCAGAGACCATGATGTCTTAATATGGCGTCAGGGGGAGGGACTCGGGGATGGTGGAGGTGAAGAGAAGGAAATTTCGTAGGGTTGGGATCAGGGCCAATCTTGTGCCCCGCTAAGCCTCTTATCGATAATACCCAAGCCTGATCGTTTGGGTTTCCGGTCAAGGCACAACGCGTCTCTGCTGCAAATGAGGGGACTGGAAGAGACGGAAAATGCGGTGTAGAAGAAAGGAATCAAGTGCAAGTGATGGATGTGAAAAGATCAAAAGATGATAGTCAACAGCGGTGGCTCAAACAACAAAGCCTTGCGAATCAATTTTCTTACTTGTGGCGAAGGCCGCGCACGGCCAATGAACGCACCCCCACTACGCATCATAGGGCAACTAAGGCGTTGGCATCGCTGCATGTGCCAGGTCAGACTCACCCATGCATATCAAGAGGCACCATGATAGGCATCTTGATGCTAGTTACTGTACTGAGCCGCTTTGAGGTTTGAGGGCTCTTCTGTATGCGCCTGAGATGTAGTACAAGATCAGTCTGCCCCTCTTCAATCTATTCAGGAAAATGGCCGGCATGATGAAAAGTTGTGTCGGCCAGCAGGGTGATGCCAAGCACAGAAAAAGTAGAAGCATGCGCATCTGATAGGAATGTGAGCTAGAATAAGGAAAAATGAAACATCACACAGATCCCAACTTTAGAATCGTTCAGCTTTGTGGGGGGGACATTCCCCGGAACCGCGGAAATCCCAATACTTCTTATCTATGCCATACTCCACGCCATGATAAGCCCAAACACTATATACCAGAGCGGCCGCTCCTGCTCTCACTGCAGCTCGGCACACGCGTACTACACGTTCCACTGTCTGTGTCTTCTTTCTCGGATATTTGTCCTCTTTCTGAATCGGCTCTCTTTCTCAGCCGCTCTCGCAGCTTTTCTAAGACTGCAGTCTCCTCCGCATTCAAACTCATGTCATCTGGTAATATGACTTCAGCGCCGTTGATCTCTATGCGGTCGCCATATTGATCATAATGTTGCTCTTCAATGGTCTTCTTTCGTTCTATCCCGCCTCTTGCATCTGGAACTACTTCTTCGTCTTCGACTTTCGCTTTGCGCACATCCAATGGTGTCCACCAGTAGACCGGGAATTGTCGTTGAATGTTGTTGATGATTAGTCCAACTATCACCATCAAGGTAGTACCCCACATGACAAGGCCGACAAAGTAATAGCCCATGGCTATGATGGTGGGGTCAGTGGCCGCCAGTACAGCAGATGCGCCACCAGGTGGGTGTACAGTGTTGGTCAAGAGCATCGCGGCCGATGCGCAGCCGCAAGCCGTGGCGCCAGCAATCCATTTGATGGAGTCGTAATCCGAGTGATACTGGAAAAGCTTCGATATGCTAACACCGATAAGTGCTGAGATTGCATGACCGAGTATGGCGTTGCGTGGTTGACCGAGAGGTGAGCGGATGGAGTTGTATTCCAAAACGGCAGAAGCACCCTATACACGGTACATCAGTGGCTGCCACCAGCCTCGTACCAGTATCAGAGTACTCACAAAAGAAGCAATCAACGCAGGCGGATGATGCCACTGTATACTCCCAGTATTGTTAAACACCCCAGCCACAACCGCCAAACCACAAAACGCGCCGACCAACGACCAAAACGCCCCAAGCACATTCCCAACATCCTGCCGCGTCTCCTTCCTATACCCCAGGAACCTCGATACCGGAGCCGGAAGCTTGTGTAGTGGCGACGGAACAACAACGCGATTAAGATACCGATCAATGTCGAAATCCCAGTCCCTGGCGCCGGAAAGCATCTTCGTCGCCATCATCAACTCTCATAAAGTCGGAACAACACCAAAACCCAAGAAAAGAGACAGAGCAGAACAACCAAACTAAATATCGCAACCACTAGTCTTTCCAAACCCAAAACACAAGAGAAAACCCCGTCAGACAAGAGCAGTATTAGTAGTAATAGAGAGCTATTAAAACAGAAGTCGAGACCCCCCCCCTCCCCTCTTTCCCCTACGCAAAACCTCCCAAATCCGGACACTCACTTGCATACATAGGTTCCGACACCCGGATTTCATTAACCTCTCTCATCCTCCACCAGAAAAGAACGTCACTCCCGCTGTTGACGTCGTACCCGCGCCATGCTGCGCGTGGTGCACTCGGTCGCCGCCAGCCGAACAAAACGGTGGTAATTGCGCAAGTTGGCGGGCTCACGCGCGAGGTCGGGGTTACGTAACATTACGTACCATAAACGCGCGACTGTGACAACATCTCCTCGGTACCCCGCGGATTTGTTTGGTATTAGGGATGTAGGTGAGATGGGGTTTTGCGATGGGATTTGTCTTGCTGCTTGTTACCGTGGAACGGTGTGATGGGTGTGTTTAGGGGAGTTGCACGGTGATTGCGTGCGGATGGTGGCGAATGGCAGTGTTGTTACTGGGAGACTCTGCACAACTGGAGG